CATTTTTTAGGCAAATCAGAATTTAGTTTGGGAAAAAAAAAGTTTTACAGTTTACATTAAGAGGAATCATCCTTATTACATATTAACACTGAAATATAAAGATCTAAATATATATTTATAGCGTGACGCGGCTGGATTTTTAAAAATCACACTTTAAAGGCCCTAAATATACCATTTAAAAAAGTAGTTTTGCCCGGAAGAGTCAAATGTGGTGGCCCGGAAGGGGAAATAGTGGTGGCTCATGGCTGCCGGAAGAGAAAAAAGCTAATATGTGGCACAGAAGGGGAAATAGTGGTGGCTCATGGCCGCCTGCCTTCCCCCGCTCCTGCAACTCACTGTTGTAATTAAAAATAATCCTCCATTTAAATTAAAAATTTAGAATTTAAAATGAAGTGATTAGTTTTATCCAAGGTTGTTTATTACGGTTAGATACTCTGGATGCGCTCTAATGTCGTCTTCATAGCAAAGGACACTCGAAACCCTCGTATGAGTATTGGTGGAAGATGAAATGACAATTGTGAGGTTTCAGTTTTGTGTCCTATGTCCATTGAGACAAGGACAACATTTTCCGTACATTGGAAAGCATCCAGAGTATGTAACCTTTAGACACAACATTGGTTGCATCTTGGACGTCATTTGCACCCGCCCAACATATGTTGTTTTGATGTAATTTTCTACTTTTTAGACCTGAAACTGAAGCAGAAACCATCGACTTGGTTAGAATGGAGTTAGGAAGGAAATTAATTCATATTTTTAACAAATAAAATAAAATCTTCATATGTTAGTGATTATTTCTGTACTGAAAACTAAGGATGTATTTTGTATTTACTTCTCTCAATATTGTCTTCAATTTAAATTCTCTTATTAGTTTTATTTCATATTTTAATGCTTCCCATATTAAAAGTTGGAAAAATTGAAAGCTTGAGATTTGTTTCCAATTTTGAACTTAATAATCTCCATCAGATGAGTCTGGAGTAACTGAACCTTGTCTGGTTGTGGAGAACCCTATATCCGGAGCAAATCCGTCTCAACCCATCCTGCAGCTTCTCACAGAGATAGAGAAAACTCTAATCAGGTTCTTATTTACTACACAAGGGTGTTACTGTTCTATTTTAACCCTTAAAAATGAACATCTTAAAACTTAAAATACTGATATTAAATAGTCCTGAAAAACAGTAATTGTGTAGTGTATACAGACCCATTTCACTTAAAACCTTGATTGTCAAGCTACTTTTAAAAATGTTTGCTTTATCAAATACACTAAATATTGCGTATACATAAATCGTCTTCATATTCCATAATTTTATGGGTTCTACTGTTCAAATGTTCAATGTATGTATTTATGTATGTCTGTTTATACTTTCTTTGGAAAGAAACCTAATACTTTGTATTTGTTAGAAAATGAATACAGAAATCAAGGGGAAAATACGTTATCCTAAAAAGTTCACAATAATTATAAAAGATTGTTCAAACTTTTTTTTGTTTGTTGTCAATGAATATTTTAGACCTAAGAGAGAAGAATCTAAACCTCTCTACTTCCCCCTGGAACAAGTAGGATCTATACCCAGCAGGTAAATGTACTTTTTTATTTAAACTTTTTTTATTATTTCCCTGACAAGCTTTTTCTAATCAAGATTCAATTATGCATGAGTTAACCTATAACCATCATCCTCTTTCTGAAAATTTACTATTTTCAATATTTTTTTTCTGTTAAGTTAAATTGCACATTACTGCAACGAAAACAATGGAGTGAATTTACACAACTTAAGACTTTAAGACAAAAAATTGTGGATATCTTCCACATTACACTAAAGGGTTTAAAAGTACTGTTCTTAGTCACGGAGTCCCCTCTCAAAATTGAAATTTAATTGAAATTAAAACAATAATCCATAAATCTGAAGAAATTACCTCGTTTGTTTAAAATTTTGGATGTTATTCTCTTTTTTTGGTTTAATTAGCTTTAAAGTTTTGTTGACATGACGGTTTTTGGAAACGTTTTGTGCTTACTTAGAAGTTTTGTCAAGTGGGTCGCTTTGTGCTTACGTGGGCGTTTTTTTTGCTTACTCAGACGTTTTGTTGAGGAAAACGTTTGATGCTTACTTGGACGTTTTGTGTAGGGCGACGTTTTGTTCTTACTAGGTCGCTTTATCTAGGGTAACGTTTTGTGATTAATTTTAAGTTTTGTCTAGAGAAACGTTTGGTGCTTACTTAGTACAAGTTGTGCTTACTTGAACATTTTATTTAAGGAAACGACGTGTTTTGCTTACTTAAGGCGTTTTTTTAGAGGAACGTTTTGTGCTGGACGTATTGAATCTGGAAAAATAAAGATTGGGTCTCAGTTGGACGTTTTCTATCACGGACAGGTATTTTTTTTTATGGGATTAAACGTCATGTTTTGGGACCGTCCATAGAGTTGCAATTTGCAATTCACTGTTTCTGATGCTTAAATCCGCAATTCACTATTTTAGAGAAACCACAATTGAAAATACAGGATTAACTTCATCATTTGGGTATTGTTGTATTGTTGATATTGTTAGATCGAGGGTTTATTGAAATTACGTTTAAGTTGACTCGAAAATGTATGTGATCAGGAAGGATTTTTATTAGAAGGAAGTTCTTAGAGAAAATCATAATCGGAATAAGATAAAATCTATAATTAAATTTTGAGATATAGAAAGAAAATTTAATACAGGGTGTCCCAATTAATATTGCCATTAAAATACAGCACTATCAAGAGCTGTAAGAGGAATTAACCCTCCAGGCTCAAACGGCGAAAAAAAGAGAGATGATAGATTTCAAGAAATCTCAAAAATCTGAATTAAACTATTTGACGGACAGTAATCTTTAACACTAATTAGTTTAAGAGTTCAAGGAACCCAATTGTATCACTTAAAACTTCGTTAACTGTCTCTTTAATTGATTTAATCCTAGAAGAGCCGGGGTAATGTTAAAGATGCGGAAATATTCCGTAAAAAAACAGATTCTCTGTCAGCTGGGGATAGAGGAGGAGTATTCATCAAACTTAAACCTGATATAGGTAGGCTTCATTCATCCTTTCATTCATCCTTTCATCCTCCCTTTCTTTCATTCATGCTTTCATTCATGCGTTCATTCATTCCTGTTTTATTAATAAAACAAACAGATATTTTTTTCATTTTTATTTCATTATTTCTTTCTTTTATTTCTTTCATTCTTTTTTTAGTCCTTGTTTTTTCTTCCTATTTTCTTTTTAAAAAAAACATAATTTCTCAATTTCTATTATTTCTTGTATTGTATACATATATATAATTATATTTTTGTTAAGATCTAAAGCGTGGAGGTGTACTGTATGAACCCGGAAGTGAATTAACTGCATCAAATAGTTGGAAAGTTCAATTGAAAAGTTTACAAGGCTGCGGCAATATAAATACCAAGGTTTGTTGCAGTGCTTAATATCCAAATCCGTCAAATCCGCAACATTTTGGCTTCTGGACCCGGATCCGGATTCAAGGGGTAAAATATCGACAAAAACTTTTTTTAAAGATTTCTTCTAAAAAAACAGTAAATCTTGAAGAAATTGAATACTGACCTAGATCCGGATTCAAAGCACTGATTTGTTGATATTTGATGATACATAATGTAGTTGATTTAAAGTGTTTTTTTCTTTTAATAAGTAGCGTACTGCGTCTCAGAGTTCTCGGAAAATAGTATTTAAATATTATTTAAATACTATTTAAATACTATTGAAGAATCGTATTTTTAGATTTAAAGGTACTGCCGATGTAATGTCAAGTTGTCATTCTATTTTATTAAAAAAGTTCTTCTAATAAATTCAGAGCAAAGTAATGGTGATTCCCTTGTTTTAATTTCTATAATTTGAAATTTTTCTACTGCGACTTCTCTATAAAACTGACTTGTGGGTTTATTCAGTTTAAATATAGATATGTTATAATGCTGTATTCGGCGAATTTGAGAAAAATAAGTGATTTTTAGGGAAAATAAATAAAAATTTTAACAAACCGTATCAAATAGAAAGGAAATACTTGTCTCCTTCACGTATTTAAGATTAATTATTATGATTTTGTATAGGGCGAGTATGTTCTTTTCCATTCCACATTCTCTGATGGGAGATCAACTCTTGAACCTTGCCAGCTCCAGGAAGAGGAGTTTACTCAAACCATTCTCTCCGGATCCGTCCAGTTTCTCGGTAGACCTGGAGATACGATCCTGCTCAAGTCCGGACACGGATATATTCTCGGCAATCTCATTTATCCTGCATAGTTCTTATGTTAAACGAAGCTTAGTTATTATTATTCAGTATCCAATATCCATCCTTTACTACCAGTACCCCCCTCCCCCTCCCACCCTGTCTTTAAAGATTTATTGTTGCGAGTCAGGGGTCCATAAATTCCATTTCCGATCCCAAATGGGATCGGGATTGAAAGTACATTTAGGTGAATGAAAATACACTTTCTGTGTCATTGTGAACTTTGGCAAGTTGTTTTTGTTCTACACTTCAGAAATGTGTACTGCATCAATATGTCAGATATCAAAATAATAGATAAGTAATGATATGAACAAATAAATACTCCCTTACCGTATGCGTTCTGCGTTATGGATTTTTTCTACAACATGACTTTCAATTGTTTACAATAACAACATGGTTAGTTTCTGCCCCTAACATCCAAATACCAAATGTCTCCCTACTTTCATACCTCCGTACATAATTATATATTGATGTCATTGTGTACATTGTAAAAATTCTAATTTTAATGATTTGATATTTCAAAAATATCTGCAATTTCAACTCAATAGCATGTATATTGCAATAAAAATTTATTGAAATCAAAATTATTTAGATATCTTAAATCACAAATTCTGAAATACAATTATTATTGACAAATAGGATAATTTCTATTCGTGATAATAAATACACTCATTGAAATCAATACAAAGCATATCAATATGAAATGTTGTTTATGCAATAAAATATATAAGTATACCTATTAATCACTTGCTTTCTTTTATATATAGTAAAATATCAATAACAATATGTATTGTATAAGGTATATGCATGGGCGTATAGAGGAATAGTTCCAGAGCGGTTTATTTTTTATAGTATAGGCATGATTGATTNTATGGAATAAGTTGTATTTAACATACTTGGAGCTTGTATCTAGTATGGAATAAGTTGTATTTCACATACTTGGAGCTTGTATCTAGTATGAAATAAGTTGTATTTAACATACTTGGAGCTTGTATCTAGTATGGAATACGTTGTATTTAACATACTTGGAGCTTGTATCCTGCATAGAATAAGTGTATTTCACAAACACGCTTTTAACCGTAGTTTGCAGATGAAGGTAAGGTCAGATAGACGTCAAAATAGCCACTTTTTTTAATGAAGGAATACTATATACAACCCCTTCACATCAGCCAAAATTCAAATTTTATTTTCTCTGACAATAGTCTAAAACTAGGAGGTATTGTATAAAAACCTGGTTTCGTGAATTCTTTACTTTGTCTTTTATTAATTTAAGTAAATGATGATACATAAAGTGGATACCTTACGACGACCTGGATCTCTTAAAAAAACTACTTTTATAAAGTTAAATTGAGACTTTTTTACGAGATGATTATCTATTATAACTTGAATTTTGTTGAAAACGAGTTGGTAAATATTTCATTTTTTCATATTTTTATTCAACTACAAAGCACGAGATAATACAAATAAAAAAATCTCAATTTACTATGTAGTTTGGACCCGCATAACCAGAGTAGGTTGTTTTAATTGGTTGGCCCACTATAAACGAACGAGAATTGCAAATAAAAACAATGTACATTGTACATTTTAAACATAAGAATGAAAAAGGTAAGGAGGAGGTGAGGGAGGATACTCAGCCTAAGGGTTGGATCAGAGGGTACATATGTTATTAAAATCAAGTTTATCCACATGGTACATTTTTTTTTACAGATATAACTTGCATAACCATCTAGATAGATCTTGGCGACTTTCCTTTTAACTGATTTTTCAGATTTAGTTTCTTTCAGCTCTAATTCAATCGAATTCCATATTTTTGGAAATAAAGCAGAGGGAAAACATTCTAGAGTTTTAAAGAGAACCCATTCAAGTTTATATGATTTTGTTCTGTTTGGTTCAGCTAAGGAATTAAACATATCATGGAAGGAAGCTGAAAGGTTATGTAATAAAAGTATTTATGCATGAAAGATAGAACACCTAGTTTATATGTATCATCAAGATTTAGGATCGGATAGGATTTGTTTTGTCGTCTCTAAACCTTCTTCTTCACTTTCTGTATTCCTTTTACAGATCCTAATAATCTACAGGGTGTCCCAAATAACATGGGAATTCAGTGACGAATTCGATATCGTCTTTATGAATAATTCTTTGATTTAGTATAGTGATACCTACTGAGAAATCTGTAATCTGTAAGAGTTTCGTCTGCTATGTATACATTTTGTTTGTTTATGTTTTGACTGCAACCGGTTGTACTTAGTAAAACAAGAAAATTTACAGTATACAAACAGAGTAAACTTGTCCATATTCACTCTTCATCTTGCGGAGACATTATAGACACATCTTTTCAGTCTTTTACCCTTTTCATTAAATAAACTCTAGCAGACATAATAATATTATGGCTTTTGAAATTAGGTATTACAATGCTAATTCATAACAAAGACGATATCGAATTCGTCACTGAATTCCCATGTTTTTTGGGACACCCTGTATCATTGCGCCTCCAGACATATTTGGATTATGTAATTTTTCCAAGTTCAAGAAAATCTCCCAAGATCTTTGTTTTCTCCGAAATGTACGAAAAGAAAAATATTAGTAAATAAAAGAGTAGAGAACATTATTAGGAATTATGACGTAAAGCACAGGTTTTATGTAAAACCTCGGGTACTCTGATCTCTGTCCGTGGAGGTCTATTACATAAAATCCTGTCAACTAAAACACTGGAGAGAAAAATAATCAACATTTATTGTGAAAAGGACAGTTCACGTAATTACAAGTGCTCCACAATTTAATTGTTAACAGTAATCACAACGGTGGCCTGTACTAGGCCTGAAAAGATATTCTTGTTTTTTGTCTTGGAAAAATGATAAATTTCATTTATGGTTTCTCTAAAAAAAAGTGAATCGCTGATTTATGTAGAATTGCGAATAAGAAGGGAATTGACAGAACTTACTCTCAAAGCAGTTTTCCAGTTAAGGGGTCAATTAAAATATGGTTTTCGGTCCCGTTAATAACTCAATTTTAGTTGCCTCACCTTTAAACTAATCCATACATACCGGGATACCCACAAAGGATAAGACTTCAGAGACTCGACTGTTTGGAGTTTATATTGTCTGTGTCTTACATTTACACCATGCTAGACTCTTAAAGGAGACCAGACCGCCCTCTCATAGTTTTACAAAAGATTAGTTTTTCGTATTATTCAACTTTTTATGAAGTTTTTAATATTTTTTTAGTGATTTAAAATTATTTATAATTTTTACTAGTTTGAACTTTTGTGAAAAGTAACATGAAAAAAGGAGAGCCAATGTTCAACAGGATCAAATTGTTAATTTATTCGTTAATTTTTTCTCAAGAAACTCTAGGATGGCCATTTTAGGTATTATCATTGTCAGAGTTACTGTTGAAACCAAAATCAAAACATAAGATCCTGTAAAACAAAGTTAAAATGATAAACATGAAAGGGAAATTTTAAGTTATAAGCTGAAGGGTTTTGTTCTGAGATGCTGGATGGGTCAATCTGCTGAACAATCCCGAGATGATTTCAAGGATGTACATGGGGAGGAAGACTTAAACCGCCCAAATTACCAGATTAAGTTCTAAGCTGAAGCATTTTTTGAAGTGTCTTCTTTATGAACAAATTTATAATTCCCTTTAACTGCAAACAATTGTTTCTCTTTTTCAAATCATTCAATAAGCCATTAAAAGATTAATTTAAGACAAAAAAAATATAATTTTAATTTGAATCGTCATATTTTCAGTTTCATCTTTTGTGAGTAACCCGTATTAAAAATATATAGTTAACCCAAGTATCTAGTATTAATAATTAATAATCTGTATTTGGTGGAAGGTTGGTAAGGGGGGGGGG